GGAAGCCTGCTTCTCCCTCTCCCACTCCCCCTGCTTGTGTTCCCTCTCTCATTGTGTCTCTCTCTGTCAAATAAATAAATAAAATCTTAAAAAAAAACCCATAACTACAGTAACTTGTTCATGGATACACAATATAAAAAAAATGTAAATTGTGACATCAAAAAACATAAAAGGGGGGAGTAAAGGATAGTCTTTTGTATGTGATCAAAAATAAGTTGAGATCAGTTTGAAGCAGACTGTTACATCTAGAAGATGCTTCAAGAGATCCTCAGGGTGACCACAAAACAAAAACGTCTCATAGATACCCACAACATAAAGAGAAAGGAACCCGAGTGCGCCACCACGGAAAATCATCAATTCACAAAGGAAGGGAGCACGACAGAGGAAAGGAGCTACGAAACAGACAGAAAACAATTAACAAGACAGGAATAGTCACTCCTTACCTATCAACAATTACTTTAAATTAGTCAGTCGAGAGGCACAGCATGGATTACTGGATTGACAAACCAGACCCAGTGATCAGTGCTGCCCACGAGAGACTCCCATGTTGGTGGGAATGTAAGTGGGTGCAGCCGGCGTGGGAAAAAGTATGGGGGTTCCTCACAAAAGTAAAAGTAGATTTACCGTACAATCCAGCAATAGTATTGCTGAGTATTTATCCAAAGAAAATGAAGCGTTAGTTCGAAGGGATAGAGACGCCCCTGTGTTTATGGCAGCCGAGATGTGGAACCAGCCCAAGCGTCCATCCGTAGATGAATGCATATATGCATACAGTGCGGAATACACACCCAGTGGAATATTACTCAGCCACTAAAAAGATGAGACCTTGCCACCTGCAACAGGGAGAAGAAGTCACAGGGACAAGAAGTACAGCATAGGGAGTACAGTGAATGCAATTGTAATAACCTCATATGGTGACTTACTATGGTGAGCCCTCATAATGTATGGAATCGTCGAAAAAGGAAAACCATATTTATATGTATGTATATGTATATCTACATGAATGTTATTCAGCCACTTGAAAAAAGAAGGAAATCCCGCCATTTGTAACACCATGGGCGGACCTTGAGGGCATGGTGCTGAGTGAAATTCCAGACAAAGAGAGATACCGTATGATCTCGCTTCTCCATGGAAACTAACAACATGGCAGTCACAGAGACAGAGACCGCAGTTGTCCGGCAGGATGGGGGAGAAATGGGGAGAGGCTGCTCAGAAGGTCCACACTTCCTGTTGTAAGCTGAGTACGGTCCACGGGTCTGTGCAGTGTGGCGACTGCAGTTAACCATACCGACCGTATACTTGAAAGTCCTCCAAGAGTAGATGGTTGGTGTTCTTACCACCACCACCACAACAACCTGGTAATTATGTGGGGTGAAGGATGTGTGTGCTGATCTCACTGTAGGAGACAGTTTCACAACATGTACGTGCATCAAATCATCACATTGTGCACCGTAAACCTTCTCCACGTCACACATCAGTTATGTCTCAGTAAAGCTGGGAGGAAAATGTCCAACACTTCAGGGGCTGGGCAGACAAGAGGTAATAGGGAGTATGGGGACAGTAGCCACCATCTATAAAGGTATTTACATTCTCATTATTTTTAAAACCACCAGGCCAGTGAAGCGAAACCTGTCTAAAAGTTAAATTCTGGGGGCGCCTGAGTGGCTCAGTCAGTTCAGCGTCCTACTGTCGATCTCAGGGTCGTGAGATCGAGCCCCACATTGGGCTCCACGATGAGCATGGAGTCTGCTTGGGATTCTCTATCTCTGCCCCCTCCCCCACTGCTCACATATCCTCTCTCTCTCATTCTCTCAAAATATAAAAATAAATAAAATATAAAAGTTAAATTCTTCCTCCAGGGATCAGCAGTATGAATGAGTATGAACTCTAAAATATTATACAAATGTTAAGATGCTTTAGTTCAACCTCAAAGAAAACAAAGGTCTGTTATTCTCTCTCTCCCTTTTGATCACATTTCTGAAAGCCCCTGGCTCTCCGCTCTGATTCGGGTAACACGAGGAGGAAGGAGAAGAGGTTGAGACACAGATGGGTTGAGCTGCAGAAGGCGGGGCGGGTGGGGCTGGCTGGTATGTTCCTCGCCAGGACAGCGGCACAGGGAAGGCCAGCCAGGGCCCAGGGAAGCGCCAACAAGCAGGAAGAAACAGAGCAAACAAAGAATGGGCATGGAGCCGGTCCCAAAGAATGGGCACGGACCCTAGAGCCGGGGAAACCCAAAGAAGACAGACTGCTCCCCGCACTGTGTCCCAGAGCACCCTGCAGAGAAGGACCTTCGGAAAGGAAGCTCCCTGCTCTTCCTGCCACACCAGGGAGGCCCTGTGAGAGGACCGGGTGCTTGTCCTGGTCGCTGGAAGTTCCCCGAGGTGAGTGACCGTACCTTCCACGTTGTCACTTCACAGGTGGAGCCCAGGGACCTGCGGGGCCGCTCTCCCAGGCTGGGGCTCTGCCAGCGAGAGCGGCCTGAACCTCTGCGTGGAGTTGGGCACCCTGGTCCTTCTGGTCCCAGGACCCTCCGTGGGTGCAAGGCTCAGGACCACACAGCCCACGTCACAAGCAGCACCCGTCTATATGTAGTATCTGCCCTCTGGAGAGGGGCTGATGGGGCATCGACCACCTGCTGCCCTCCTGTCCTGCCTCCCTTCTAATGTTTACTCTTTTCTATTTTTTTTTAAGATTTTATTTATTTATTTGAGAGAGAGAGAATGAGAGACAGAGAGCATGAGAGGGGGGAGGGTCAGAGGGAGAAGCAGGCTCCCCGCC